TATCCACAAAAATGGGGCAACAAGGTCATAATTCTGATTATGGCAAGAGTACCATAAATGAAACATTTCTTCTAAGATTTTAATACAAGCAAAGAAGATACAAGGATATAAGATTGATCAGATGGTTCTTCAGAGATACAAGCTTGATGGCATAAGTTGCTACACTGATATCCAAAGGTAACCCTGGCAATAAAAGATCAAGTGAAAGAAGACCAAGTTCACCACTTTGAAGTCAAATGAAGATTGCATCAACATTCATGCATTCATGAGAACATCATTTACACAATAAACAATGCATTACATTGATACATGTGAGTGCATTCAAACATAAAGTTTTACAGATCTTCGTATGAACAAGAAGATTCATGATGAAAAATACCTTACAAGAAGAAGGTATTCTAAATTGCAAATGCAGGAATCACGCAAACATCTGAAGAATAGATAGATGCAATCCACAAGAATGAGCATTATCTTGGGACATGTTACCCAATCAACAAGTTATTTCAATGAGAAAACGATTTTCAAAATTTCTCATTTAATCTTTTCTAAAAATGAAATTGATGAATAATAAGAAAACGATTTTCATAGTTTCTTACTTAGTAAACTATTTCCCACATCTGTAAGCCCTTCAGTGCATGATGTTTTTCAAAACCATCAGGTCATCTGTAAGCCCTTCAGTGCATGATGTTTTCAAAAACCTTCGAGTCATCTGTAAGTCCTTCAGTGCATGATGTTATCAAAAACCTTTGGGTCATCTGTAAGTTCTTCAGTGCATGATGTTTTCAAAAACCTTCGGGTCATCTGTAAGCCCTTCAGTGCATGATGTTTTTCAAAACCTTTGGGTCATCTGTAAGCCCTTCAGTGCATGATGTTTTCAAAAACCTTCAGGTCATCTGTAAGTCCTTTAGTGCATGATGTTATCAAAAACCTCCGGGTCATCTGTAAGCCCTTCAGTGCATGATGTTTTTCAAAACCTTCGGGTCATCTGTAAGTCCTTCAGTGCATGATGTTATCAAAAACCTTCGGTCATCTGTAAGTCCTTCAGTGCATGATGTTATCAAAAAACCTTCGGGTCATCTGTAAGCCCTTCAGTGCATGATGTTTTCAAAACCTTTGGGTCATCTGTAAGCCCTTCAGTGCATGATGTTTTCAAAACCTTCGGTCATCTGTAAGCCCTTCAGTGCATGATGTTTTTAAAACCTTCGGGAGCTTTTTGATGTTTTTTAAAGCCTCCGGGTCATCTATAAGACCTACAGTGCAAGATGATAAGACTTCAGAGCCATTCATAAGACCTATGGGTAGAATGTTTTCAACATTTCCATCCTACTTAAAAGAAGCCAAACGAAAAATTATTGTCTTTTTCGTCTTTGTTCTATTCTTGTTAACACAAGATTAAGCAAAGAGGGGCAGCTGTAGACACTAATTTTTCAGTTTGTTTTTATTATTATTATTATTATTATTATTATTATTATTATTATTATTATTATTATACATTATTATTATTATTATTATTATTTATTATTAAATAAATATTACAAAGCCCAAAATCTGGCCCATTTTACAAAACTCGGATGACTCAAAACGGTCCAGGCCCAAGCCTAAACCTAACCCTAATGATACAGGGTTTGTATCATCTCATCAGCAGCCAGCCGCCTCAGCATCACATCAGTTGGATTTGGCAAGATCCAATGGCACACACGCATCCAAAATAAACCCTAGGGTGATGATACCCTAGGCACCACACGACGCCGCCTCTGCCTCCAGCCACCCCACATCGAGGTTCCAGCTGCTGCCGCCATCACTTGAAGCCTCTAGAAGACCTTAACGACTGTCCACGTCGCAACTATGGGGTGAGTCATCACATAGTTCGGTGACTCACCGAGAAATCCCTTTGGGACTGGTCCGACGAGAGCCTCTTCGAGGCTATAAAACCTCGGTTCACCTGCAAACAAAAAAAGGCAGCGAGCAAGAACAGAGAACAGAGGGGAACAACCAACAACGAGGAGACACAACAACAATGAACACATCTCAACAGCAACCAAGACCAAAAACCAAGTTATCTTTTAACTGATGTTTTCTTAAAAACTCTTTTAAAAGATTATTTTTAGGTATTCGACCTACCTGACCCAAAAGGCCGATGGCGACTCCCAAAACATTTTAAAACCATTTATTCACATCACTTTTCCCGCCAAGTAAAAATTTCGTGCCCGGGCGAAAACCGGTTACGACACTTAGGTTATCTTAAAATCAAAAGATAAAGGAGTTAGAGAATATTAAAGATTTGGAGTTCTTGAGTGAAATCTTGAAATAGAGTTGATAAGTTGAATTTGAAGTTAAATTTGATTTGTCATCAGCTTAATTAAGAAGTATTAAGTGTTAGAATTGGATTTGAAATATGTTGAAAATTGGGTATGATTATTGAAGTTCATAAAGAGGATAAGATTTTGAGTTTTAAGATGAGATAAATGAATATAAATTGGTTTAAGTATGTGTATTTGAGTTAATAATATGAAAGGGAATGAAACATGAAGTATTGAAGCTGAAAATAGTGAATTTTCGTATTTGAACTGTGATTTATGGGCAAAAATTTACAGATTTCAATAGGGGTACCGATACCCCCTAAAGAAAAAATGGAATTTTCGTTCATTAAACTAGATTAAGTTATTAACATCAAGTTATAAGGTTTAGGCTTCTGATAATCATCTCAAAAATTATGTTTATGTAGATATTGAGCCTAAACAAGTTCTGGAACAATCAAAGAATTAGGATCAAGTCAAAATAAGCAAGGCTAAGGTGAGCGCAATTTAGTTTGTACTTATGTTATTGAACAAACATTGGCTTGCGATGATCCAGTGACGGAGTTACTATGGTAAGAAGTGACTCCTAAAATGTTAATTGATTTGTGATTCTTATGTGACATGACTTACATGATTACATGTTATATGCATCATTATATATGTGCTATGTGATATATGAACATATGAGATTAAGTGAATGAACATAGATGATATATATATATATGATGATATAAGAATAAGACATGAATCAAATGATATGAGTTATATGGGAAATATATGTGAACAAGATATGATATATATGTGCATGTGAAATCATGCAAAGTGATACGAGCTATGTGACATACGAATATGAAATCATATGAAAAGTGACATGAATAAATGAAGCATAAGAAAAATTCCCATGTTATATGATACAAGAGCTATAGGTATAGTTGGCATGCCAAGAGTCGAGGGTCTACATCGTCCTTCGGGACAAATACAGTGATCCTTCGGGATATGCATAGGTCATTCGGGACAAATTTCATATGCCACTCAATGAGACTTATACGAGCTGTGGTGACAGCAATAGTGCACAACCTCAATGTACTCGAATACCTTGAGTTCTCAATAATGTACATGGGCCTATAAAAGATATCAAAAGTATTTATAAGATTTATATGTGATACTGTGTGTATTCCTAAGTGAAATGTATTTGTTATATGATATTGGAAATTGTTTATGCATTAGTGTGATTCAGAGTTTATATTATATGCTGATATGGTATAAAAAGAAATTAATGATGATAAAATGAGAAATGATAAGCATGTTAATGATTTTATGTTACATGATATGTGCATGTATGTATATGTTACAGAGAAGAATATATGCTTTGGTATGATAAGGTAGTATAAAATGTTATGCATTATAGAAGTTACAGTTAGCATATAATTATGTTTTATATGTCTCACTAAGTCTATGACTTAGCTTGTGATTGTTTCACACGTAGGTTTCGAGAAGAGGAAGATTGATAAAAGTTATACAAGACAGGTCAGTTTCTCCTTTCCAAAGATTAGATCAGAAAAGAATTGAATAGTATGTATTTTGTAATATTGATATTGGTTGGCATGTATATAAAGATTTGACTCTGATATGTTCTAAATCAGTTTTGTAAAATCATATGATTGATTTTTGTAATGTTTTAAACATATATATGAAAATGGAAATTTTATACTGATGAAAGCTTAGTATTTTATGAGTTTTATACATGTTTTCCGAAGTTACTGTAGCAGGGTATCGATACCCCTGAAGCAATCTGGAAAAATTTTAACATTCAATAATGTTCACAGTACTGTTCACGGTACTGTTTATACCGTATAGTACTGTTCATAAATATGTATTTTTTTTAAAAAAATTATAATGAAGCATAATTTAATAGAATATTATTGTATTTTCTTAATATAAGTTCAAATGTTTTGCTATCTTACAAGAATATGGTTTCAAAAAGTCAATGTGATATCCCGGACTCATATTCGGGTCGGATACGGGTTGGGGTGTTACAGATACGATGTCGACTATTCCATTTTGACACAAGAATATATTTTTAGTGTATTAGTGCATTGTCGGTAAGCTTGGGAGGCCTAGTTTTGGCAATTATGGAATGTATAATTTAATTAAACAAGTATATAATAATAATGAAACAATTTGGAGTATTGTATGATAAAATTATATTTTTAGAGAGTAAAATAAGAAGAATTAGAAACTGATGTGATATGAGCAAGCAGGTATTTGCATTGTTCATGAATCATCTAATTCCATTCCCACCCTCTTTTTGGCATTTATTTCAACAATTTATTACTTGTCGTAATGTGAAAATGTTTCTCATTTAGTCTCTGTTTGAGAATTTAATAGAACTGAGATTACAGGTTTAAATTCAATTTAAAAAATATAAATATGAATGGTATAGGGAGCATAAGAATAAAAATGAATATAAGATCGATTGAATAATCTTTCAATTTTGTAATGATGCAATTTTGTTTTACATTTGTCTCATTAATAATTATCTTTCTTTATTTTGACAGCTGGAACTAAAATATAACGTTACGTATAGTTCTAAAAAAACAATTGGGTAATCAAAACATAATCGTATGAATAGATGTGAGACTAAATAACGAAATTTACCCAAACATAAATAGAAAAAAAAGAAGGAAAAAAAACTGTATGCCACCACCAAAGGTGTCTCTCCTGACCTAACAATGTATGAGCTCTATGGGGAGGGAGTGTGATAAAAAGAATAGTATAAGCGTACTATTTACAGTCACTCTGCATATCCACATGATGCAAAAATCCATAATACTCTGCAACCCCTATTTGCTTCTTCCTCTTCTTTCAGTAGTTTGGAAAGTTTTAACTGTTAGCGATCTATGAATGACTTATTCATGAGGTTGACAGCATCATCCATGAACTGCAATACAAATCACGAGTCGTTATCGGGTTCACATGCATTTCATAGGCAACCATTTTTGTAACAAAAACAAGAACCAGAGCTCAAGTAAATTACTTCTCCAAACAATTCCCAGAGTCTCTCTTTTTTCTTATTTTCAGTACAAGGAGATTCACAATCAAAAGAGTATGAAGGAAAAGGAACATGTAAACCCCTCAGCACTTTAGTATCTGACAGACTAGCAAAAACCATTTTAAGTATGCATACAATAAAGGCATAAAATAAAATAAAAAACCTCAAACATTTACTAAAATCGTTATTTTGTCCCCTATTCATTTTTTGGAGCATTTTGACCTTCAACGTTTCATCTTAGGGCAAAAAGTTTGACTAAATAGTCACTTTGACCCTTATTCTTTTTTTCCGGAACATTTTGACCCCTATCGTTTCATTTTAAGGTAAAAATGTCCTTATTTTGGAGTATTAACCATTTGTTAACTAACCATTTCCATCCAAAGAGAGACATTTTTCCCCCAAAAGGCTCCAAAAAAGAATAAGAGTCCAAATGACCATTTTGATCAATGTTGGGATTACTTTTGACATTATGTTACAATAAATTAAAAGGCATTATCATATAAAAGGTTCTCTAAACACAGATTTTTGCTTCATCATAAACTACTTTATCTCAACGCTTGAAAGCTTTTCTTAATCATGTTGATTAATTTCAAATGAATATGAAAAATTTACACTGAAAATAAAGTTCCTTATCACAAAAAACGTGCGAGGCAACAAGTGGGTCTTCATGTGTGCTTTGTGAGAGGAGAGCATCTAAAACTATCGAATTTACCTCTCCAAGCAACTTTAGTTCTTTACCAACTGGCTCCAGAAATTTCATGTTAACTTCCATCGGCCAGACCTGTCAATGTGGAAAAGAGTTAACATAAGAAAAGTTAAGACATTTCTATAACAGAAACAAGCACAATGCTTTGGGCAGATAAAGGGCAGTCATAGTAAGCTTCACATTGAAGATGAGAAAATGAAGAATACGAGTTTATGTTGCTTTTTCGAAAATGCATAATTCGACAGAGTATTGCTTTTCTTAGTCGAAAATGAAAATGTAGCTGCTCGAACCCATATTCTCTAGAGAGAAAACTTGTTCCTTTTATCACTTAGATCACTCAATAGATTCAAACATAACATGGCATACAAAAATAACACAGAAATCTTTGTTAAAACTAGATACAACATCCAATGTCTTCGAAAGCACTTCAAAGGGTCTAACACTCTAAAAACATCATAAACCCTCGAAGATCACTACTTGTGGAGTAAATACCTTGAGACCAAGCAATCTAATAGGCATAATCTGGCCAGTAACAATGCATTCGGGTCCTGCGGCTTCCACAATTGCTTCTGTCAACCCACTTCCGATAGGATCTGGGTGCTGCAAAAGAAACCCCATATTACAAAAGACCAAAAAAGGAGAAAGGAAATACAAAAAGACTATACGCAAAGTAAAAGCAAGGGAGAGGGGTGACCTTCATGACGGCGAGGGCGTAATTGGAGTGAGGGGTTTGAGGGAAACGCAGAACAGGGGAGTGGTGGATTTTCGGGATGGATTTTTCGGCTGAGACCCTCCATGGAGCGTCCTTTTGCAAGGCAGCTCCGCCTTTCTTCGGCATGTTTCCTTGTTGTTTGACGTTGAAAATCAAGCTGAACTTTTGTAAGTGATGAATGGAAAACAGAGAAGTGTAGAAATGGTAGCTCCAACTTCCAATAAGCTTGGATTTACTCGGTTTTCTCGAAGCTCTGTTTTGCTTTTATTTTTGGAAAAAGTACAATTTTAGTCAGTAAAAGTTTAACATGTTTCTATTTAGTCACTCAATAATAAAATTTTCAATTTTATCACTAAACTTTCAAATCTTACTCGTTTAGTCACTCAACCCTTAATTGCTTGGCGCCATTTTTTTTTTTTTTTTGTAGATTTATGTAGAAACCCCTCGATGTGTCCTTTCAAACTTATAATTTTAAACTCCTTTTGACTCATTAATATCAGCATATTTTTTTTCAAATTTGAAAAGTTAAAGAAGAGAAAAGTAATATATTTCGATTTTACATTGACCAAACATCGGATGTTACAAATCAGACAAAAATAAGATTAAAATTCTGATTTGAGTTATGTTGATTTCGAGGAAATTTCAAAGAAAATTAAAGTGAGAAGAAGAAAAAGGGAAAGGGGAAACTTAAATATCAATTACGTCACTAATAATTGCACGAAGATGGGTGACATCAATTATGAGACAGGTTAAAATTTTAGGTTAATTCCATAAATAAAAAGCCCAAAACATGGTGTTATGGTATTGACCTTAAATACTTAAAATTTAAAAATATATAGAAATTTAATTTTTTTTAGAATACGACCATGTATAAAACATTCCTTATGGACTCGAGTTCAATAAATGTAACCCACAGATATGGCCCCGACAGAGGCCGCCAAGAAAACCATAAATCCACAATCTTATCGGTGGACAATATGATTTTGGTCATACACATTGGAAGCTGTAAAAATGAAGCAAAACAGAATTATTTTCTCGTTTGTCTGTATAAAAACAGTTGAACATCAGCTTTCAAGTTGTTTAATAATACATTCTTTGATCCTGTCAAACCCCAGATATTATATCAATTATTACATCTTCCAACTACAGTTAAACATGCTTTTCTTTTCTGTTCTCAATGGATAACAACAAACTAAAACTGAACATCAGAAAGAGACAACATCTTCATTCAAGTAAGAAAACTTTCAAGTTGGAATCTGGGACACCATAAGTCCTATAAAAAAATCTGGTGGAAATTTCTTCACATGCAAACATCACAATCTCTACTACATGAAAGTCATCGAAGCAGACAAGTTTGAAGATCAAATCATAGTTGTTTCCGATGTGACATTCGAAATTCGTACAATTTTAAAGACCAGATTTGGAGAGGAGCCATAGTGTTAAAATAGTAGTTGTCAATCAAAGATACTTTACACAATAATATCTACCTCTATGGTACAACTTTTAACTTTCAAGTATATGTAGACATAAGAGCTTACTGTTTCCTTTTTATCTACTTGCTACCAACATGTTCCTATATCACAAGGTTAGCCTCAGAAGCTTCATAGTTTACATTGACCGCACACGGCGGCAGGGCAAAGTATACTGTACAGCGATGCTAGCAATGTCTATACGGGAGGGGGCTAAGTTGTGATCATAGTTATTCCCAACCCATCAACCGCTTCCAAACTTCTTCCTCGACTTTTCGCATTGGAATGGATAAGCTAGCCCCTTCATCTAGAAGAACTCTGTAAACTTCCCACTCTCGGTCTCCGATCATGTGTCTCGCAATCTCTGCCTGAAAAATATGCAAACTCGAAAAGGTTACATATGCAACTTGCAAAAGGAAAACAGAGAAACATTAATGGACTCCAGATATAACAAAAGTAATGCATTGGGTTTTATGTTTGGACAGACCAGGACGGCGAAGAGGAGTAATCGACAAATGCACACATGCATGTTATTGCAGTGTTAAGTTCAAAATATCAATGAAGCAAAGCTAGTTTTAATCAACAAAAAATGGAATTATTTACGTTGGAAAAAAATACAGAAAGCAAAATAAAACTCCTACAGAAGCTTATACAGAAGAGAGCTGAGGAAGTACCGAGAATATGCAGGTGTTAAGCATCTTTAGGGCAAGGGTAATGTCATAAAAAACAAGAGGCCGGCCCTTGCTCGATAACTCTACAGGGTTTGCAACTAGAAGCTCGGTATCAGGACCCCGGCTCACTACAGCTACTCTGAGTGGTTGCTGCAGTTCCATCTTCAGACGTGAGGACAATGCACTTTGCTTGCTAGGATCAACTATCTTCTTCCCATCGGCTTGCATTATAAACAAGTCGATCTCACACTTCTTTCCTTGTTTTATATAGAAGCGTCCATATGAAATCTAGTCACATTATGAAACTGACGCATTAACATGGTGTAACTAGTTTCTGGCTAAGAATGTTTCCCTTACCAATCGAATATTAAACAAATAAGTGGAGCTTTTGCAATTTGGATAGGATTCACGCTAGTTACGATCAACAGACACACATTGTAATACTGAACACTTAGAATAGAAGCATAGCAAGAGTGGTTTTATCAACTCATAGTGACAACTGACAATGTACTTAGCAACACACAACTAAAGTACAGCGACATAAATTGACCGAAGGTAAAAACCTATAAAACTGTAAATAATTCAACAGGCATAACAATAATACTGTAAATAATTCAACCTAGAGTGAACTTAACATAAATCCTGGTAGGTAGATAAATAGTTCAGTAAAATATTGATTTATTATATAGTAATTAGTGTATCTACCTGAATGTTGTAATCCTTCAGAGTTCTCATTATGTCATATAGAAGACCTTTATGATCTTGACAAACGATCTGAACAAGCGTGTGAGCAGGACTGAGCAAGTTGTCCATCGTGACACAAACATTGTTGGAAGTAAGTGATACACTTGGGAGATCATTAGACGTCTCTACGTTGAAAATATCCTCGGTTATTGCAGGTGGGAGAAATGGAGATGCTTGAGAACATGCGGTAATTTCGGGTCCAACCTTTTCAATGTTAAAGCTAATTATAGCATCCTGCGTGACATCTTCCAATGCTTTATAAGTCTCCTCCTGCCTAATTTTGGTATGCAATAGCTCCCTGGAAAAGAAAACCATAATATTAACAAAGGGTTGTTCAAACTCGGGTGGACGTATATTCTTGTCTACATAATTCAACTCTAATCCATTAATCCTTCCTCCCAAAAGCAATTTTTAGAAGACAATACACCTCCAGTTAGATGTACATGATGTTCTGATTCAAGATACATTTGTAGTCATTCAAAAGAAGCATAACCGATACGGGCTAACGAACAAATATGCATGTGGAATGGAGAACAACACCGAGTACATGAAACATAGAGCTAGTTTCTAAAGATTAGCAAAGCAAGGGAGTTTGATTAGAAGAGATCATATCAAAGGAACAAAAACCTGGTATCCGTGATAAAGAATAGGTCCATCACTGTGCCATCTGGAGTTGTTGATACCTTCACTTTCTTTATATTGAGTTCAAGACTACACAGAACTTCTGTCACATCTGCCGAGCAAAAACATCAAAGACTGATCACTAATACATTTTAAACCACAATTTATCCTCAAATCATTCAGAAAATTGACCCTGACATGATAAATGTCATAAGTGGAGATATCTCCATTGAATGGTAAAAGAAACAACCAAAATTTCATGGGACTTGAAGGTGTGAAACAACTGGAAGATGTTCTGAAAAGATGAAGAAAAAAGAAGAAAACTTTACCATGCAAAAGGCCTTTTCTATCAAAACAACAAAGCTTGAGGAGAAAGACATCAGGGGGCCTTGGAGACTGCAACTCAGAACGGTAATAAGAAATCCCAGAAGCTGAAGAGCAAGAAGGGCAAGCCCCAACCAGTCTTTCTTCACCAATTCCCATCTTGTTGTTGGCTTGCAAACCACCCAAAACACTATATAACACCATTTCCCATCCGTGGATACATCTTCACAACCAACAAATTCACAAAATTAAAGATTATATATACAAATACATGCAATCTGGGATTAAAAAACAAAAACAAGTAAGAAAATTTGAAAATACCTCCTCTGACAATGTTAAGACCGAAAAAGAGCAAGATGCGGCATAAATCACAGCCTAAACCAGTTTTATCAGGGCAGTTTACAGTGATAACACTCGGCTCTCCTTTACCGCCTGCCGAATAATCATTACGTCGTCATCCTTTTGTTCTTCAAAGCTTGAAGAAAGAAAGGGAGAAAAACAGTGAAGATTTGTGCTTTGATTCCTTGGGTGGTTTGTTTTAAATTGAACGTGTTGTTCCGTTCGCAGTGCTTTGTTGAGCAGTAATGTCATGGAGACAGAAAATAAAACATAAAAAAGGCAGAGAGAAGCAGAAAGCAAAGCAGAGGAGAGAAAGTTACTGGTTTGCCTTGCTTCGCTTGTGCTTCACTTGTCTATTTTCATTTATTTATTTATTTATTCCTTTTTACCATTGTTTGGCCATCAAGGTTTCCAAAATCTCGACAACCTTAAGCTGCAACTCCACCCTCAGCCCTAATCAAGGTGTAAACGAAGTAATCATTTGTAGAATGCATAACCACAAATGCCTAAATATGGTTAAATAGTAAATTTAGTCTCTATTATTTTAATAATATTTTATTTTGGGAAATAAAAATTTCTTAATGTTAAGTATTTTTTACTTTAACATTAGAATATTTTTACTCTAAAATAAAATATTGAGAGTTAAAATATTAAAAAAGTTTTAGAGTTACAAAATAGTCCCCTAATTATATGATAATATTTTATTGAGTCTCTTGATTATTAAAAGTTACAAAATAGTCCTCTGGCTATAGAGAATTACTTTGTTCAGTCCCTTGACTATTAAAAGTTATAAAATAGTCACTCGACTATTTATTATGTTCCAAACTAGTCAATTTTTGCTAAAAAATTAACGACAGCCTGAGTTGTACGTTAACATGTTGACTGAGATATGATAAAATCTTATCTAATAATCTCAAACGACTATCATATCTTAGTAAGCATGCTAACACTGAGCTCAAACGACCGTTAATCTTTTAACAGAAAATGACTAGTTTGGAACATAATGAATAGTTGG